AATTATGAGATAGCTAAATCATAATTATGAGATACAAGTTTTATTTTTTATCAGGGTGGCGGAAATGGGCTTCCATATTAAAACACACAACATGTGAGAAAATCCAGCAATTGTTGTCAGTAAAAACTTTTTTTCTGCAGGATTGTTCAAACTGAAAATGACTTCTGTAAGCTTGCTTCATGTTGGACTTTCCTATTTGACTGACTGGCGCCAGTAGTGGTTGGAAGTGAAACTGCAGCCACCATCATTGATCTTGGGTAAGGACAGAAGAGTGAAAGGACAGGGCACTTCAGGGGGCCAATCAGATTTCAGATGGGGCCAATGCCCCTGTGGCCCTGCTCCTAGAACCACCCCTGCTATCAAGTGCTCTCCTTGGCCCATCACAAGCGCCTGGGGGGAAACATTATTGTCTGTCGTCCTGATGCATCTCAGTAATCCAGGAAGAAAAAATCAAAAAGAAAAAATAAGTAGGTCCTCTGGATGRGTTCTTCTTTAGTGAAACGTTTCGTCTCTCATCCAAGAGACTTCTTCAGTCTGATGAGTTTCAGGTGAACTCAGCCTTAAGAGCACTGCCTCCACATGGTGGACAGAGGTCAGTCACATGCAAAAGAGGGCCATCGCTTAACAATAGGCTTGATTAGTTCTATTGTTCATAGAGGGTCATGTGCCCCATCACCTGACTTATTGGTTTGAATTCTGTGGTTCTTAGGTGTCGTGTCATGTGTATTTAGTGAATGCAGGCGGAGCTCAAAGTCCTCTTGTCTTTGTTTTGTCCCCCCCCCCACCCCCCTCTTTGTGTTGGGTATTGTTGGGGCCCTGATTCACACTTTTTGCTCACAGGAGGCTGAGTCATAATTGCAATAACAGTGTTGTAGGAGGAGGACAACTGGACACGAAGGCCTCCACCTCTGTTTAATTGTGGACAGATTTTCTTCACAAAGATGGCTTCCTTTACTCCTCTCTCAAACCAATGTTCCTCTCTATCAAGGATGAGAACATCTTCATCCCTGAAAGAGTGACTGCTGGCCTGTAAATGAGTGTAAATTGCAGAGTCCTGACCCGACGAAGTAGCTCGTCTGTGCTGGCTCATTCTTTTGAACAGTGGCTGTTTTGTTTCCCCAATGTATGACTGATCACAGTCCTCCTGACACTTACGTAACAGCATATACTATATTATTCTGTTTTTGCCGGGGAATTGGACCTTTGGGGTGAACTAATCTTTGTCGCAATGTGTTTTGGGGTTTGAAAGCCATTGGGACGTCATGTTTAGAGAATAAACGTCTCAGTTTCTCTGAAACTCCCGCCACATTTGGAATGACGACTGGTTTGGGTCTGGGTTTAGGGTCTTCATTTTCATCTGGTTGTTGGCTGGAATCCTGTTTGGGTTTCTTGTCTGCTTTCAGAAAAGCCCAGTTAGGATAACCACACTGCTCCAGGGCCTGTCTTGTGTGTGATTTCTCTTTCTCCCTGGCTCCTGGGTTTGTAGGGACACTGTCTGCTCTGTGATACAGAGTTCTGATGATTCCTAACTTGTGTTCCAGTGGGTGATGGGAATCAAAATGCAAATAYTGGTCTGTRTGGGTGGATTTGCGATACACGTCAGTTTCCAACCGTCCTACATCCGAAACTGAGACCTCACAGTCCATGAACGCCAACCTGCCGTCTTTTACATCCTCTCGTGTGAACTTTATATATTTATCCACAGAGTTGATGTGATCAGTGAAATGTTGGACTTCCTGGGATTTAATTTTAACCCAGTTGTCATCAACATACCTGAACCAATGGCTTGGTGGTGTCCCTGTAAAGGACATCAGAGCTCTTTTTTCCACCTCCTCCATGTACAGGTTTGCAACAATAGGGGAAACTGGGAAGCCCATGGCACACGCATGTTTCTGCCTATAGTATTGCCCCCATATGTGAAATAGGTTGATTCCAGCCACAGTTTCAGAAGTTGACACAGTTATTCTGTGGAAAGAGTGGTTCTGCTGCTAAGAATGGTGTCTGATTTTAATCTTGCACAGACCACCTCCACCGCCTTATCCACAGGAACACATGTAAAGAGTGATGTGACGTCAAAGGAGACCATAATTTCATCTGTCTCCATGATCACATCCCTCACCTTGTTCACAAAGTCCATGGTGTTCTGTATGTGATGATCTGACATGCCAACTAAAGGACCAAGTACTGACGCTAGATATAATCGTGCTAACAGCAGGTCTTACCGGTACATCCTGTTTGTGAATTTTGGGTAAACCATACAGACTAGGAGTGGCTTCACCTGGGTACAGTGTGTGGTACAGAATGCTGTTCATAGCCTTGTCTTGATCTAAGTTTTTTAGGCACTCTTTSAATTTCTTCTTGTATCCACTTCCTGGATCTCTTTTCAGTGGCTTGTGTGTGGTCTTGTCACTATGGAGTGTCATAACCTTCTCATGGTAGTCTTTCTGGTTCAAAATCACTGTGCACCTTCCTTTTTCTGTTGGGAGGATGATGATGTTCTTGTCCTTGCTGAGGGTGGTGAGAGCGTCTCTCTCTTCTCT